AGCGTCTAGCTGTCATGGCATAATGGATAGCTTGGATGGATAATGGATTACAAATGAAGTTATGATGATGGTAATATTCGCTAATACATTTAGAGACTAAAACTTTCTTATGTTGACTGTAGCAAAGTGGGTATGCTCTACTATTGGGACTTTTAACCATCATGAATTTACAACTAATAGGATGGGTTTATGAGATATACACTGTAACACATAAGTACAGTTCACAACAACAGAAACACATCTTCCTGAAAATATGTTGTGTAATTATACAGAAAGAGAAAGAATTGGTTCACTCTAAAACTGATTGTCAGAAAGTCATTGGCATGAAAATAAAAGAGGCAGTTGGTCTACACTTCTGACATCAAGTTGATATGATGCAATTAAAGTTTTTGTTGAAACATAAAAAAGACTATGGTTGACAATATAATGAAAGATATATTGAAAGTTTAAGAGGAATGACATTTTTTGTTTTGGTTCATAATTATAGAAATTAAATGTATTGTGGATTTGTGGTAAAATGACATCAAATTGAGCAAAAACAGATTTTTATTGTTTACCACCTGCAGGGCATTCTAGAATAATACTTGATCAAATACTGTTTCTAAAACTGCAAAAGCCTGCGACTCTGTCCAAACATGGGACGTTCGATGCGAAAGTGGACAATACATCTACAAGAATTCTACTTCTGGGTGGATGGAAAGAGACATGATTAAATTTTGTTTTCAATCACGCTTCTGACATATGGCACTGAAATCACTAAACATTTAACAAAAATATAGCGATTCCTACATGAAACTTACGCAGATACATACACAGCTGCAATGAAACCAAAAACATTTTGCATTTAACCTCAGATTCTAACACTTAATGTGAAATAGCAAGAAAGAGCACAAGTTGCCTGATTGATTAAAGCGTAGAATACAAACATATAATCAAATGACAATTTTGGCATAGGTGCAAGGTCACATCATAACAAAGGAAAGGGCTGCCTTATATTGAACACCTTTAAATCGAGCGTAAGTCCACTCTCTCTTTCGGTAACCTTGAATGGTGCCATGGGGTTCCCATAAGGGGTTTATGTACATGTACCCGTGACAGGGTTAGTTTTGATTGTCTGGGTTTTTTAATAAGTAACAGGGCTCATATTATTAATAAAGCCTTACATGTAATTAATAATTACCGGTAGCTTTATTTTTTTTTAGTCAGGTTTCATGAATATGGACCCAGGTTATCATTCATTCTCAACCAATGAAATATTAGTCACACTTTTTGTTTGGAATTGCTCCAAAATATGGCTCACATCACACCTGAGTATATCTAAGAACCCTTCGAGCCTGGCCTCAAGGGACTTTATGCTTCACCTACATCAGCTCATACTCCTGTCATGTTCCAATTTTACATGTTTGAATTTCTGTTTGTGGACCAACCTAATAGTGCCCTATTTTTCTCACAATTCATCACTTTGGTAAACACATAGTTACACAATGAAATATTCATGAAGGGCACAACGTCACAAATGATACCATATTTCATCACAATTTGTGCATTTCTTTCAAACGTGTTCAATACAATTACAACAAATATTTAATACTGCTGAGGAAGGGGTAGGTTAAGATTCAATTAAAGTCATTGCATATTTCAAATTCAGATCCATAAAAAAATTGATATTATCTGCACCCACGTAAGCTAGGTTTTTACAAAGCTACTTGAAGAAATGGGTGGATTTATTTTGGTCGATATGGGTGCACAAGCGCAGGCTCATGGGGATACAAAAAAGATTTAGTAATGAATAAAATACAAAAATATAAACATTAGAATGAAACTGAGGTATTTGTTGTGGTAATCATGAACATGCATATAGGAAAAAGTACAAAATGCATTACTAGGTGTACTCATTATCAATTTTAAGTAGGGCAAAAGTATATTAGGAAATAAAAAATTAAAATAAACCATTGCTGTTTTCTTTACTACTGCATGCTATATCAGGAACTATTGAAATAGTTTACACGGCATGGCTTACGGTAATGGGATATTGCATAAAATATGTGTTGATTGTACATATAGGTGTAAGGATGCTGAAAACGAATCTACGCAAATCAATTTTCCTGCAAAATCTTGTAAACGCTAAGTCCAAAGATCTTATCTGAAGAATTCATTTTCAATTAACCCCTCCTCCCTTTAATAAACAAATATTAAAATATTTATTTAAAAAAACATTCACTTGCCAACAAGCTTTTAACCATATCCAGAAAAAAAAAGCATTCTTACTTGTATGTGTATTTCATTTTCTGTAGTTTTTATGGGCGATAAATGTAAATTTCATCAAAAATATACATTTTTTTAAAGAGAATAAAACTTAAAATGTGGCAAAGAGAAGATTCAAAATAATCAAAATTCCACATGCTGGAATGAGGGAAAGAACAGTTTGTAAAAGAAAATGCAAAATTTTGCATACATTTTGAAAGAAAAATTATGACTTAATGATTATCAAGTAATGCACTGCACATAAAAGGTGAAATGTCATGCTTTATGACATTATTTCAAATACTTTCTTAATTCCTTTTGTCATGAACTCTTTGGTTTGAATAAGAAATAAGAATGGAAGTAAAACACATTCTCAATGGATACTCTACATTTTGGCAAAGGAAACAATACAGCAAATGTATATATACAAATCTTAATGTAAACTTGCAATCAGGGACTTTTTGACACATTCAAAGGACAGCAGCAAACAATTACAAATGTCCATATAAATAGGAGTATTTTTAAGTCTAAACTCAAAACACACATAATTGCAGATTAATGTATCATAATGATAATAATAATTATAGTGGCATTTGTATAGCACTTAATATTATGTTACTAAGTGCTTTTACATTGTAATTATTATCACCACGGTCATTGGATTTATATCAGTTACAAAACAATAAAATGCATTAAAAAATAATGATAAAATCAAACAGAGGGTTATAAATGTATATATAGATGGGAAAAGAATTCAGGGCAAAAATAGAGCTAAATATTTGTCTCTAAATAATGGGCTTAGTCCAATGTAAAATCTTAGCAAATCACGTGCCTGTCCAACAGCATATAGACCTTCTTGCATGTAATTAAAAATGTGTTGTTCATCACTCCAATTCTTGGGCCCGATTTGCCGCCCACAGCATAGAAAGGGTTCAATACAATTTTCTACGAGACATACCAACAGGGGTACAAGCAGAATTTTTTTTTACTAGAAATACACGTATGGTCCTCATATATTATACAGGCGAACTAAAAACAAGATTGACATTATGCAGGGAGTGGGTTACAAGTCCATGTGCACAAACAGACACAAATTGAACATTTAATGTTTAACCTTACATTTCCCAACTCTCTGTTCGTTATGATATCTGGGCCGTTTTTAATGATAAGGCCACTCACAATAGAACTTTCTTTTGTATATATCAATAAATAATGTAATTTGAAATGTACAGATGAACAAGCACAGTAAAATTTGCCATACATATGACAATAATAAAATTTGGGTAAAATTCTTTCTAATACTGTACATCAACTCTGCAATCTAGCAAATGCTACATTCAATTTCATAACTTGAGTTGAAAGCAACGACAATAAAGCTGGTGATTCTACAAAATGCAACAAAATAAAACAAGTGTACATGAAGAATAACAAACTCACTATGGTAATTACAAATAATGTTTGTGTTGAAAATAAAATATCAGAAAAGACAAATACTGAAACAAACATGAAAACAAACCATTTGCTTCTTTCTAATAATTTTAGATACATATAAGTACACTGCATGTGCCCCTTTTTGTATAATATAATAAAGTATACATGAAATAAACTATAATGCTATTATAATAACGTAGCTAGACCTTCATGATATATCCTTATTTGATTGTCTGAAAGGTGCAAATGACATGAGGAAGAAAAAAGAAGAAAGAAGAAAGAAGAAGATGAAGAAGTACAAGAACAAGAAAAGGAGAAGAAGAAGGAGGAGAAAATCCAAAGTGTTAAAGAAATACCAAATACCAAAGAAAGAAAACAATGAGTACAGTAGTTTCCCCAAATCAGTTATCACACAAAATTAGAACAATTTTGCTTAAAAGCTTTCTACTACGTTCGCCCCTAATTGCTGAATAATAGATTCAAGCACAATATTATAAGATTAAAAGAAGAGTTCTAAACATGATATGTTTATTAGTACCTTTCATTCTCATAAATGCTCATGCATGTTTTGGATAGCAACAATCAAAACAGAGCGAAACATACATGGACATTGGATTCGTTCAAATCAGGTACTGACATATACTTAATGCAGAGGGCAGAAAGACATTAAAATCATATATCACTTGCATACCATCTGCATGAAGGTCCTTTTTAGCTCTGATTATAAACTATACAGATGTTCCACATGATTCTGTTTAGAAAGTAAATTATTAAAAGAAGAAATAAAATGGAAAATACCAAGCAAAATTCAGTTGGCTTTTTTTTCTTGTTTTAGCTGTTAACAATGATTGTACAGGAATAAATTGCACATGATTGGAATTTTAAAAATAGCATTTGATCTCTTTTTGTGTTATAAAAATGCACAATGCACCTATGCACAATATCTTTTGAAATAATCACCCTTGCATAAAGAAACACCCCTTCACATCAAACAATCTCTTGACATATATTTTATTTTTAGTAGTCTCCTAAGAGGAAAGAAACTCTATCTGGGGTTTAAAAGGCTATGTGTGCAGCTTATCTTTAAGTATTTCACTTCATGATCATGCCATAAGGATGGCCAAAACGTTTATTCTAATGACAGCACCAACATGATTGTCATAACAGAATAAAGTATAATCATTGGTGATCCACAATTGATGCTGATCACCTTGCACAAGTTCATTGGGATGGTTTAAACCATCAGGGCCCCATTCCACAAACTTGTCATCAGTGACAAATGACACTTTTTGTTATAAGTAAGTGAAATCCTTGCTCCTGATTGATTGTCAGCAGATTTGTCACTGATATTGTCATTTGTCATTGAAAAAAGGCTTTGTGAAACGGGTCCCAGGAAGTAACTCTATCACAGGGATCTTTATCATAGAACTAATTCCTAAAAATGCTGATCAATTTGTACTCATACGATTGTTTACAAAAGACATTTGCAAATACTGAGGAAAGGGATACATTATTAATAGGGTGCAGATTTTTGTCTGTTTGGAGCCACAACGACTTTCACTAACATTGATGTGCTATAATACAGTGTTTTGTGGCTCCAAACAGCCAATTTGTTCCATGGAGTTGATTGCGACAGTGCAACAACTACATGCGTGCAAGCCCTATGCATAGTTCACAGATCTCAAGAGCACCGCAGCAGTTTCTTGAGGTTCACCTGACATATCAACACCTCGTGTATGCATAGTAAGACATAGTGACAACAGAGACGTGGTGATTTAAGATCTGGGCCCCATCTTACAAAGACTTGCAAGTGATTTGGATCATTTGTAAGTTTGCAGTCTCCTATCTCTTATGGATATAGTTGCGCTTGATATCGATCGCAAATAAGTTGCAATTAATATCAACTCTTTGTAGGACGGGGCCCTGGTAATACATATAGGTAGAAATGCTCACAAATTCCATTCAATTCCATTCACTGGGATAAAATTACGCTAGGTTTCAATACATTTCAAAATGGCAAGACTCTTCCATCTATGGGTGCTTCCTCCCTCTTGGAATTGGGGTTCAGGGAGCTTGCGTTAGAGTCTGTCGAAAGAGTTCATTTTGTGGAGTGTTTTCTGCGCTCTCATGATGGAACCGTCGCTCATGAAGCCGGAGCTCTGGCTGAGGGGCGAGTCCATGTCGGAGCTGTTGCTATGGAGATCCATCATGGGCGGCGGCCTCCTCCATCGGGCGGTGGGGGAGTTTGGAGTGGTCACATTGTACTGAAAACCAAAGAGGAAAAGGTGTTTAAAAAAGTATTTGAAAAAAGCTAGAAATGAAATAAAGCCTTCTTTATACTTTAAACCAACTTGTATATTTTTGTCATATAGATATTGTTCATGGTTCATTTAGTTTTTGTTTTTCTACATCATTTCTATCTTCAAGTCTACGGAATGACATACCGGCTAATTAATTAGGAAAAGCAAACATTTCTGAGGAGCAAAATATTGTAATTCCAATTCTCATGCATTCTGAAAGGTGCCTCTTCAAAATGTACATGTACTTTGCATCCATTTCGCCTGAGAAACTATTTCATGTTCAAAAAATAATTCTTATATGAAATTCTGCCACATTTTTAAAGTTTAAGACCTAATATTTCATCTTCAGATTTCAAGGCAGTACAGTATGAAACCATGTGCAAATGAGTGACACCACTTTTAATGAAAGTTATTTAAAAGACATATCCTTGCAGATGGTTAAAAATGAAAACTTACCTTTGCGGATAATGAGTAACATATAGGAACTAGTCTGACAATACACAGGAGTAGACTCTTGGTTTCTTGTATAGTACAGTCAACCTAAAATGAGGGAGAAAAAAATAATTATAAAGTATAAAAACTTCATTATCAACCAACATCAAAATACAATCAAGTTACTGTGAAAATGAATTGAAAACATATATAACGTAGCATCCCTTTAAATTAGTAGCTCCTCCTAAGACTTATCATCTTGGAATAATAATCATCATCATTCTATATTTTTCTTGTTGTCGCGGGCAGCGTTCCCTGCGAGTTCCAAGATTTCGGGTTAGGGTTAGGGTTAGGGTTAGTACATGTAAGATAGGGTCCAATAAGAAATTAACCTCCTACCATGGGCCTTTAATAAACTTCAATGTCTATAACAGCAATTTTTTAAAGCCCCACTGCACTACTTATAGCTACTTGCGCCATCTATATAGCAAACAATGTCTAATCGGTACCTGTCGGTACCCCATGATCCCCTTTTTCTTATGTTAATTGAGAGCTGATTTGATGAGATAACCACCTGTCAGTGACCTTGCATGAAGGTCTCATCCCACCTGGCCAAACTAGTGCAGACAGGCTTTAAAGCAACCCCTTCTTTCATACTACAAATTATAAGAAAATTATAATTAACAAACCAATGAAAAAAAAAGGAAAAGATGTAGATGAGGAGTATATATGTAGACAAACAAGAGGAATTAATGAGGAGAGAACAAACAAAATTGAAAGATGGGAATGAGGGGACATAATAAAATGATATCACAAGATGATCTTGATAGCCTAGTCTTTCTTACCTTGTTGAATGTGCTTGATTTGCCGGCTGATGGTGACTTGGTGGTGAAGTTAAGCTGCTGACAATGGGATGGGATCTGTTCTAAGTACATCATAAGTTCACTCCTTAGTTGACAGTCGGGCACCTGCCCTACAAACTCCCGGACTGATCGGAAGAGCTTGTTGCCCTCTTCAGCAAAGTACTGCAAAGAAATTGGCAAAGTAGACAAAGATGGTTTGATAAATTATAAAAACTAAATAAATAATGTATAAAAAAATATATACTGTAAACGCTGTTATTTTTGCGGGATTAATTTTTTTGCGCTGAGCGACCCCAAAACATATTCGCTAGTTCTTAAATTTGCATTGCACGCAATTCAGCTCGTTTAAAACACGCATAAGAAGTCATACTTATATTTTCGCGAGGTCTAAATTTGCGAAATGAATGTACCGCGAATATTCCTGCGTTTACAGTACTACAAAACTTCAGTGGATCATCATCTATATAAAAAAGAAATATTATAATCTTCATCACAAGGCTTCTATCTATTAACAGAAGCTCTAACATCATTAACTTCAACATAATAACTTCATGTGCTCAATGCATCAATTTACAGACTTTTTTCACCAACCATTACCATATAACATCATCAAAATAACCATCATCGCCACAACCAATACCACCCTTAAATCATCACCGCCATCAAAATATCCATTATAACTCTCTTCACAATCTTCTACCACCATGATGACTATCATCATCATCATAGCAGCCACAGACACCATCATCATCACCATTATCATTGGAATGATCATCATCACCACCACCACTTCCACCAACATAATCAACACATTTATTGCAACTACAATTCTCAGTACCATCACCTATCATCACCATAGCAACCAGAAACACCATCACCACCATCATGAATACCATCATCCTCATCTTCTCACCTCTGCTTGTTTGAAGAGATCTAATGTTGTCTTGAGTGACCCCTCTCCTCTCGTGAACATGTACATGGCATAGGCCATGCTGGACATGTTCTTGGCCCTCTTTACGATATCATTCGCTTGGTCCTCCCACTTCTCTGTCTCAGCATCCACCTCGGAGGTCAGCAGTTTGACCTCTAACCCGACCTTTGCAATCTTAGCTTGTTCCTGAAAGAAGAGGTATACATGATGAACTTAAAGCAAGCTCCATCTAGGAAGGATGGAAACAATATTGTAGGAGACAGGGACGTGGAGATTCTCTCAAGCATCCCTATTAAACAGTGTTGGTGGACTCCACTAAGAGCTCTAAGCTCTTCCAAGTTCTTTTTTGGTTTCAGATGTTTTTATCAGTAGGAGTAAGTTTAAACTTCTATGTATGGGCGCTTAACAAATGGCTTTCATGGAGTACTTACTAGTGAAATCCCTTTGAAATGCTTCAGTTGCATTATCATGATGGCATTGAAAGTTATTTTTAATTTTTGGAGAAAAATGAAGCTAAAACACAATCTTTCCCTTTGAATTTGATTGCCTGTGTTTAATGCATGATAGCTTTGAAGGAATTTGTTTGATTTATATGATCATCATGGATGGATATGATAAATTTCATCACAAATACTTTTAGCATCCCAGCTGGTCCCCATTCCTCTCCTGGGTACCGAGTGGCAAATGTTATTTGATGTTTTCCAAAAGGACAATAGTGTTGCTGTTAGGATTTAATCCTAGATTATATGATCAAGAACCCTATGACATAACCATGGAATCGAACCACACCACTGATAGTACCCCAAACATTTTCCAATGGATGCAACTTCCAAAGACAGCTGAAGAATCCTTCATGAGCCTCTTCCTAAACTCCTTGGTGTGTATTCATATATGAGGCTCAAGTTACACCTAGGACCCGTTTCATAAAGCCCTTTTTCAATGACAAATGACAAAAATCAGTGACAAATCTGCTGATAACCAATCAGAAGCAAGGATTTCACTAGCTTATAACAAAAACTGTCATTTGCCACTGCTGACAAGTTTTGTGAAATGGGGCCCAGGTTTCACTTTGTCCACTGACTTATGGAGCACCAAGCATTTTTTTTCTTTAGAAATATTTGTAACAAATATCTGTAACAAAATGAATGTACAAAATGCATAAAATAATGAAAATGGATGTGAAAATGAAAAATCTGATTTGTCATGACAAGTTTTTTATTGATCATTTAGTTCAAGAATTTAGATAATTTTTTAATGATGAAATGAAGAGTTTGACACTTGGCACTCCATAAATCTGTGAACTAAGACTCTTACCACTTAGTCAGAGTTTGAACCTGGACTTAAAATAGTATGATTTTATGAAATCCGACCCTTGTTTCCTTGGATTTTTACCTGAGCGTCCAGCTTGACCGGTTTAGCAGCTTTGACCGTGGTACCGTGTTTCTGTGTGAGTGGATGGGAATAGATATATAGACACACATATGGAATGCAAGATTAGCATGTTAGTGAAATGCAAATAATGTATGTGCTCAGATATCATGAATGCACTTGATAACAATATTACATGGAGAGAAAGTAAGGAGATAATTAAATGATAGATGCAATGAGAGATGCATTGTATAATTGCTCCTTCAGAAGAGAAAAGTGGAAAGGAAAGGTAAAAGTGGATGTAGTAAGGAAGATTAAATTGAAGTCCCTTAGCCATCTTATATAGTTCTGTGACCATATTGTATAGTTCTGGGGTCATTAGGAGCTGAAAGAACTCATCATCAAGTAATGAAAATTAAAATGGTCAGCTGAGAGCCTGAAGGATGCAAACTAATATAATTTTTAAGAAAGGGTTTACAACTCCTTGCTCTCAGCAGACACCAGCCAAAGATCTAATACCAGCCAAAGATTAAAAAATGAGGCCCCAATGTAAATATGAAAGTATAAAGAAAGTCGACTGAAATGGCCAGTAATTTTTTTTTGAAGGACATCATAACTGCACATGAGTACACTATGCAGCAAATGCTTACTGCTAAAATTCATAACTTTATTTACTTATTTATCTATTTATTTAATTGCTTATTCAATCATTCATTTATTTATTTAATTATTTTTTAAATTTTGAATTTTTGGTATTTAGTTAGTAATTCATTCATTCATTTAATCATCCACTTATTTATTTATTGCAGGGGTGGCTTGTTCAATTAACGTATGCAAAACTGCTTCACAAAGGCACCCAGCAGTTTAATTCACTCATCAATATATATCAACGGTGCTGTGTTGATCAGCTCATTAATAGCAGCTCAAACATGAATACTGCAAATGAAAATGTGGATCAATGGAGCTTATGAATATGCCATGAAGCATTTTATAATGTCACTAATGAATTTGCCTCTCTCTCCCACTGAATGCTTGTCATCTCTACACCTATATTAGTGTACAGATCTCTGTGCAGTCCCATATGTGAGGTTCCTTGTACTGAAAGAAGTTATAAGCCACATAAATGTATATTAATCTACACTTCTTTTCTTCATTATTAAGTTCAAAATTAGACTGTCATTACTCTAAATATAAAATCCCCAATATGGCATATTTCAGACATTTTTTGTGTATGAAAACTGAACACTTTGCTCAAAGGCAATTTGAACAAAAGTAAATTTGCTATGGACAAGGAATGAAAAGGTGCATGTATGGACCTGAAATGAAATTTTGTTCTTGGCTAATGATTAAGTGTTGACAAAATAATGTGTGCTTTCATCTTCTAGGAAATTGTAATGGAACACTTCCAGAACCATCTTTGGTGGCAGAGGTAAGAATGGAATTAACACTTGTACGGTAATAGCTGTGGAGCATCAGAAGTTTCAAATCTGATAGGCGTGAGCGATATATAACAACCCACTACTATTATTAAAATTACTATCAATTCATACACATGTCACGCATCACCTAAAAGTACAATTGTTAGAGACTTGGATGCCGATAATTAATGCTGATAGTTAGCTTCCCAATAAGATGTAAAGAAGAAGACATGATGCAAGTCAGTAGGTAATTATATCGGAATATAGAATAAATATGTAATATATGAAATTATCAGGTGACCATGCTGTAAAGTTAATGTGAGATAGGTAATCCTAAAGCTACTAGCATCTTTAGATCTACATGTACTTCCTCATTAATGATCTTATACTCCATTCTTCAACAATTTCTCCTCCTCCTCTTTCTTCATCTTCATCTTCATCTTCATCTTCTTCTTCTCCTTCTCTGTCTTCTTTTTTTCTTCTTGATCTTGTTCTTCTTGTTCTTTTTGTTGTTAGTGGTCTTGTTTTTCTTCTACCTCCTTTTCTTTCTCCCTGTCTTCTTCTTTGCCTTCTTAATTTTTTTTCCTTCTTCTTTTCTCTTTTCTCCTCCTCCTCCCCCTCCACTTCCTCCTCATTATTGGGTAGTTCTTTAACCCTTCATAACCTTCACATTGTTTTTCTTTTCTTCTCTTTTTCTTTCCTTCAGAATGTATATCTCACAAAGAACTGCAGTCCACTTTACAACACAACGAGACCATAGCATTTTCAAATTCTAAAACTACCACTGTATGTACTGCTTGTAAAGCTTCGTTTCTACAAATTGTCTGCATGATGCTGCAGGGACACAAAACTTAAAAATCACCATGACGATTTCAAATACGAAGATTCATACAGTTTCAGAATCGACATGAATCCTGAGCAGGCATGGATTTTCAAGAGAAAAGTACTGATGCAATGGTTAGGATTACAAAGGATTTTCAAAGTAGCACAGTAAGTTCGGGAAATAGGTCACAGTGTGGCATTCAAAACTGCAAATGAAGTCATAAACTGATAAATGATGGTTAGAAATCGACACGGATACATGTATCATTCATACAGATATGACGACAATGATAAAATGATCATGTCATAATTTTAATCACTAGCTTTACAATGTTACAAAGACAACTCAAGAAATCAGGTGGAAATCTCCATTGAAGATGCAAATCAACATGGTGTCATGTAGCATGAGATGATGGTCAATGGATGAGTTACAGTATGCATGTAAAATAAATTATCAGATGGATAAAGATGAGAATCATTACCAACAGAGGATGGGATAAAACTGATGCTGTTTAAAATCACAAAACCCAATCGTATACCTCTTATAACACAGTACCAATAGTCCAATACCAATGTGAAAATAAACCCAAAAGGTGAAACAAAGCGGAATACTAACTCCTTAAAGCCCCACTGCACTACTTATAGCTACTTGCGCCCTCTGTATAGCAAACAATGCCTCATCTGTGCCTGTTGGTCCCCCATGATCCCCTTTTTCTTACGTTAATTGAGAGCTGATCTGATGAGATAACCACCTGTCAGTGACCTTGCAGGGCAGTCTAATTCCCCCTGGCCAAACTAGTGCAGACAGGCTTAAACCCAAGTTTAATGACCTCAAACCAGCACCGGTGTGAAAATCACCCAAAAAAGTGAAATATGGAAGGCTAATTTAGGCTGATAATGACTCCCAATGTATCCTCCCCCAAAGTTTGAATTTGGATACCATTCCAAATATTATGTGGCAAATTAAGATGGATGAAATTAAAGTATAGATGTAAATGGAAGCCGTGAAATTGTGTTGAAGAAATGTTACAGATATATTCTGAAATCTTGATTGTTTCATTTTACAGTTCACAAATGATGTTATATCTCAAATTGCAATATGACTCATGATTAAATGATGAATATCTAATTTATTATATTAAGAGAAGAAAATTCCCAGTGGATGATGATAATAACATTATTGAATATTCACAATAGTTAGATTAAAAGTACTTTTAAGAAAAAGTAGATGTAGTTAGAAGATGAAACTGTAACTGGCCCTTTGAAATGCGTGACTTTCTTCACCATCACAAATATCAAAATAAATGGTTGTTCCTAAAAACAATCCGTATTTCCATCTCTATGGTTACCTTCAGAAAACTGATGTTGTTTCCTTGGTGATTAAATATATGCCCAATCCATTTCAGCGTTAATACAAAATATGACGTTAAACCCATGCTTTCCTGTAGCATGCTGCACCTATTAATCACAAAAATCTAGCATTGTACAGAGTCAAATTGTGAAAAAACAAGAAACTCAGAATAAATAAATACATGTGATGAAAAATGCAGTGTGGCAAATGAGACATGGTGACGACGATGCGTAAATATATATATAAAAAGCAGGTATTGTGGAATACTTACAATATCAGCCTATAAAGTGCAGAGAAATGAACAAAATTTCAAATAAAGTATACATATCAGCGAAAGAAAAATACAAATAATAGCAAACATCAATACAGTACAAGAAATCAACTAATAATAAAACACCAAGACCTGAAAATGCTTTATAGCTGGAAAACACCATTTATAGAACAATTTATATCACATAATTTCTTTGGTGCAGGTAAAAATTTCTAACATTTAAATATTTAAATGAATATTGCCTGTTGTCGAATTGTCTCATAGTGATGAGGTATCAAATAATTATTCTGTTACTTGTATTAGGTTGAACAGGGCGTTGCATTTTTTGTGATCTTGAAGAGGCTATTTATACATATGAATAAATACATTAATCATATTTAGAGATTTATACAGAAGAGGATAGCTAGCCAGTAGGAAAGGTCAGGATAGGTGATGTTTGGATTTTACAGCTTTATAATTTTGCAGAAGAATATTTGAAAAATAAATATAGAAATATTTTAAGTTATCTAGATACTTTACAGCCAAACAATATAGAGAATATATTGTATTGAACAGATTTTTCAGAAGGAATGAGGCTATGCATGCAAGCTCCAAATTATTCATATGGGGTATGCAATAAGAATAGAGAGGAACCTAACTTCATCCCAAACAATTTTGTTTCAGTTCACGGCTCTCCCGATATATATATATATATGTATTTTTGAAGAAGAAGAAAAAAAAAAGGGAGCTTTGTGCGGACAAAAGCAACAATCACAACAAACATAGACAGAAAAAGTATATTTGCTACAGAGTATATTAGCAAGAAGAGAGATAACACACAGAAGCAGGGAAGGGGAAGCATTGATTGATGCTGCATTGTAATCTTGAGATCTCTTGTCCAAAAATGAAATCTGACAAATGAAATTTCTCTCTCAAAATGTGTAAAAGAAGTCCAGGGGGTGTTTCACAAAGACTAAGATCGAATTTAAGTTGGACTTAACTATGGCAGGCCATTCATTCCACTGTTTAATTTCACCAGTTACCGGCATCGGTCTCTCAAGAGACATACAAATCATGGTCACAAATCTTCAGCATTTATATTTTTTGATAATTCATTATTGAAGGATAATTGTGAGACCAAACATTGGCACAAATGGCCTGCCATAGTTAAGTCCAACTTAAAGTCGATCTTAGTCTTTGTGAAACACTCCCCAGGTAGGACTGTTCCTGGTGGACATAATGTCGTCATATTTAAACATGATAAATATACCAATCGGAAGAAAAAGAAGGTATGAGCCACGTGCATGCAAACAAAGCATTATGGCATAGTTTCCACGCACAAAAACCCTTGTCGGTCATTGTGTGTAACAGTGTCTGCAATATGAGACTACAGTAGGCTCTCTAATTTAGCCGTTTTTGGAATTGTGGTAAAGTGTCACATAAGGGTCTGTGCTTGCAGACTACAAGTGGCCTGGGCTACAATGAAAGAGAAGGACAAAGACGGGGGAAAGTGATAAGACCAACAAAACAAGAGATAGCTTACCCCTGGCCTAGGAAGAGAGAGATAAACTTGTTTGTTGTCTGGAGAAAGAAAAAATAAATGTGTTATAGAAGTTGAAATTAATTTACATGTGAAAGAAAATATAAGAGAAAAGAAGTAATACATAAGTAAATGTATGAGAAATGCATAAGAGAATATTTCACCACAAAAGGACAAGCTTAGAGAGTAGTGTTTCTCACAGCCATAGAAAATTAAACTTATCCTCTTTATTTTTTGAAGAAATAACTATTTCTTTTAATTCATTGATAACAAATTGATATTACATAGTCACATATATCAGATTGTGATAAATTTGATTGATTATATAATGATTGAGTAATGGCAATAAATCATGTACAGCCTACATATCAAGACTTTAATCTTTCAGCACAAATTGAGGCAATTATGGAGAGTTCATGTAATTCACTAGATATAACAATGCAAGATGCAACTGAACTAATGCTATTTATCGGCATAAAAAAAAAAGTTAAGTTCACGCTCTCACTTGTTTTGCCAACGCAGTTGTCGTTGACCTCCTTGACCAGTGTGCTAAGGTCGTTGATCTGAATCTCCCAGGTATCGGCAAAGACGTCAAGATTCTCTCTGGCTATCTTACTGTTGTGGTTCATTGCTAGGGTGATCGCTGCACCCGTTAACTGCATTTGAAATAAAAATGGAAAGAATAATAACCATGTTTATATTGTGCACATTACCCTGACTTTAGCTTAGCTACCCTACAACACAGTCCTGAAGTACTGGCAACTCTGAGTAACACTGCTCTGAATTTTTAGCTGCAATTATAGACAATGGTACTATTATGTCTTGAATGGATTACTGATACACACAATTTTTTTCCTGGTCTTGATTGGCCCCCAAAAGGGCAATATAACTCAAGCATTATTGTAAGAAAAGCACATCTATCGTATTTGAGGTGAGAATTAGAATATCTTGAAACCAGTAGCTAATCAGTTATTTTCATTTTTTTCTAATTTGAATTCACCAAGTCAAGGTCTACCAGAAATATTTTTTCTTTTTCTGGAGAGGCAGAAAAGTTTTTGTAAAAATGTCAAACATAACTACAAAAATAAATTTGATGGTATCGCTTAGAATGGTATCATGCAATTTAACAATGACTTTCTACATTTCATTTAGGCTTTCTCCTATTTTGTGAATGAGAAGTCCATCCCAAACCAGTGGTCAATTCTCTGCCCACTTACCTGTGTATCTGATGTGGCTATACTATTCTCTGCATGGTCACAACTTATGGTCAGCGGAGCTAGTCTGGACACATGGCCAAGTAATCTACATACCTGCATCATGGAAAAGAGACACAAATATTTGAATTTAATAAATTATCCTTTTAACAGAAATACAATAGAAGTACACAAGCTTAGTGTAATTTGCAATAAAACCCTATACCTCATCCCCCTAAAAAATAAACAGCTACATAGTTAAGGGTTGTTTCAGAGCTTATGTCGTACAATGACAAAAATAGCTATAGTTTTTCTTCCTTTGTTCCATTCAGCTTATTAATTCTTTCATTTGGTCAGCATAATCATGAAATCAATAATGAGTTACAGTGTATACGTCGTGTTGCCAGATTTGTCTTCAATAATTATAACTGAACTGCTAGTGTCACTGACAGTCCCTGGAACATCGACGTGAAGTTGCAAGACTTGCTCTCATGAAGCAGATCCAGAGTGATCAATCTGCTATCCCAAAGACCCGAACACCTCTTGCTGTTACTACATCCCGTCGTTCGTCAACCAGCAATAGCCAACATTTGAAACACACATATTGCAGGACAGACTTTATCGATTCTCCTATTTCCCTCGTACGTGCAAGGACTGGAATAACTTACCCCGGTATCTGATATCAATTGATTCCTTTAGGTCCCACGTGCTAAAATTCCTGAAAGATCGTTTTTAGTCCATGACCACGTGCCTCGTTTCCATGTCTTTATATGGACTAACAAGTCTGCCGACACGTAAAGAAGAAGAAGTATCTCTATGTATTTCCAACATTGCTAAACAGCATGTCAGTGACACATTTAAGTGCAAATGGACGTACATAAAAATGGAAAAGCCCAAAAGAAGATAAAAAGATGGTCTTACTTCTCTAATTTGGTCAGCATGATCATGGAATCTAACGGTAAGCTGTTGGACTGCTTCCACCTGTCCCTGGAGGGCCACCTCCTTCAATTTATGGATGGTCGTATGGTCATCACCAACCTTGAACACTTCTGATGCATGGTCTAGGGCTGTGTGTTGAAGCTGACAAGGAAAGATTGAAGACATAGATACATATTATTACATTGATATTGCATACACATCAATCCCAAGGGATGCTTAAGGTGCCTGCCAAGTACTACTACAGTCAAACCTGCTTTAGTGACCACCTGTCTACAATGACCACATTTCTTGTTTTCCATGAAAATGGTTTCTTGTTGAAACATGCACTAAAGGAACCTGTCTACAAAGACCACCTGTCTACAAAGACCACTTTTTGTATTTCCCTTGTTTGGTCTTTATAGACATGTTTTACTGTAAACATCTATCGCAACGGGATGACTAAGGTGCCTGCACAGGACTACTATTACCATGGTTTTAGCTAAACTACCTAAGATGCTGAGAGCATTTGAGGATTTACTTCCTACCAGTGATTTGTACTGAATGTACTCCTGGATTGAGAGTGGCAACGAAAAAAAAGATGATTGTCTTGCCAAAGGACGTTAGAGCCACAGCTAGGATTAAAACCATGAACCACATAATCCACTGTCTGGTTACATATCCATTAACACCTCTTATTAATACCATGCTGAAGATCCTGTGAGGGAGTCTTATCTCCAATTATCAGGCTAATTGCAAAGAACTGACTGCTCAAACGTTAGCAATGCTATCTCTACAGGCTTTTTACCGACTATATTTGGGTGATCGAGTCTTCAGCAACCGTTAATGCTTCCCCTGAAGATGTCAATCTTTAGAATAGCTAGCTAGCTTTGGATACGTTTCTCACCTGCTTCTTGAGATCTGAGATAGACTTGACCATCTTGACCACCAGGACTTCAAGCTCATCCTCCTGCCTGTCTGATGGATGCTTGTCCTACAAGGAGAGAAGAGTGAAGAGATGGAGAATGAGAGAGAGAGAGGGGGAGAGAGAGAGAGAGAGAGAGGGGGAGAGAAAGGGATGATGGAGAGAAAGAGAGAGAGAGAGAGAGAGAGAGAGAAGAAGAGAAAATAGAAGAGAGAGAGGGATAGAAAAAAGGAAAATAATGAGAGAACAGAAGAGAGAGGGAGGAGAGAGGGATAAAAAGAAAGGGGAAGGAAAGAAAGAAAGGGGAAGGAAAGAAAGAAAGGGGAAGGACAGAAAGAAAGGGAAAGGAAAGAGAGAGAGAGAGAGAGAAAGAGAGAGAGAGTGGGAGAGAAAGGGAGGGGGAGGGGAGGTAGATGAAGAAGAAAGATACATGTAAAAGAATGGATATTGATAATAAATTGAATTAAGAGAGGGAGAAAAGATATAAAGAAAAAGAGAGAAAATGAGATTAGGGGGAGGGGGGGAGGATTAACATAATAGAGAGGGGGCGATAAGAGAGAGAGAGGAAGAGAAAAATGTGAGGACGGTTGAGAGATAACAGGAAAGAAAGGAGAATAAATTAGAAATAATGATGAGAAAATATAAATAGAACATCAGAGTCAGATAAAAAATTACAATCCCCAAAAAGTATTTTCTATGTATTTACCTTTTCTGCAAAACTGAACGAGGGAATCGTTATGAATAAAACAGAAAGAGAGACATTTTAATGACGATAAATGGCAAAGATATATCATTTGATGGATGGGTAAAAGTTCTATGTGTTTCCAATGAGGCAATGTGAGAAAAGGTGGGTGAATTAACCATACCTATTTGAATTTTGCTTCAGGTTAAATAATTTCTCATATTTTGTAAACAAAATATAAAAAAGTTTATGTCTGCCATAAAGTCAAGGAAAAGAAAAAGAAATGCAACTTCCCTGTGAAATGTACATTAAATTCCAGATAGATCTTTTGCATCTTAATTCTTAAGCACACAGGCTTATACCTGCATTAAAGTTAAAGCAAAAACCGAGATTGTATACCGGTAATGAGATTTTCATGAAATTCAGCTTTTGATATACCATCTGCAGCTTTCTTTGAAAGCAAAGGGACATGCATGTATCTAGACTGAAAATGCATGAGGCACAGAAACTTTCACTTTCAGTGGAACATATAAAAGGAAACAGAAAAGGAACTTTGTAAAAAAAAAATAGTTGGAATATTAGCATTTAAGCCATCTGTAAAATTGAGAGGTTTCTAAAGATAGATATAGAGCTCAAATGAAGCAATTAACAAGCAGTAAAGTTTGTCTGTTCGATTACTTTTCTTACAAGCAAGCAAGGTGGAGAGGAAATTAGAGGGAAGTCATTTCCTAGATTTCCAAGACCTAGGGGTTATTTGTCAGGGGCGTTCTCACAAGATGATCTCAACGCTTTCCAATACGTTTCTCAAATAACTGTTACATGTAACAAAAAATCTATATTGCTTTCAAAATATCTCTGGGGCAGTGCTCTCATTTGCAGGGGCAGATGCAGGGTTTTGTAAAAGTGGGGGCAAAATTACCCCCACCCCCCAAAAAAAAGTAAATTAAATTGTAGGTTCATCTTAGAAGAGGGGCACATTTTACTTTGTGTACTTAAGGTCAATGAATGACACATTGGTTTGAAATGGGAGACACTGGTGGATTAAGGGGGGGGGGGGGGTTACAAGTATCGGCCAATGCCCTACCCCCCCCCCCCCCCAATTCGCCAATGCTCATTTGGTCTAATACATTTCTAATTACATGTGAACAGGTATTTGTCATTGGGCGTCCATCGGGGCAGTTCTCATTAGGGGTATTGAATTTTTTCCTCAAGCCTTCAGGGTATCAAAACATTCCTTGTTGTTCTAGCTGTCTTGGGGTGCTCATACAGTTCATTTAACACCGCATGGCCATCATTCTTCACACCGGTCAACACGTATTACCTACTTACATCTATCAGACTATATTAAACCTCCTTCAGGGGGCCATGTAATTCTTTCCCGATCCCTACGGGCTAGAAGCTCAGGATTAAACCAAACTTACACCCCTTTTGTGGGATAGTCCTTACCCCAAGTACGAATGACAAACATTAACTAATACACAAACCCAATTTAATTTTGTCTAAATACTTCAAGTTATTAAAGGCACCTATTCAAAAGATAATACACCCCAAAGTTGTGATAAATTTATGTTCCATGATATATGCTCCTGCGACATTTGCTCCAGATAAAATTCCTACACTAATGGAATTCTTTACTTGAACCCTGTACCAAACACTATACCTAACCCTAATCCAAATCCTAATCTATCTCAATTCTAATCCTAATCCTACCTTTAAGCCTAAACCTTATATCTTTGGTGAGATTGATAGCCTAGAGTGATTGTGATCAGAAAAAATGTTCAAGCACTTTGGCGCAACCTAATTTTATCAAAAATTAAATTATTTGTCAAAATCTAGTTACGGTTTGAAAACACTAACAATAAAACGGCAAGTTGGAACACAGCAATGTATTGATTACTGATGAGATTGGTGCATCCGATAGAGAGATTGGGGACGGGTGAAAACACATGTCAGACATGGACCATCTATTGCTCAGATAGCTACATGACATGGAGAATGAGGGAGGAAACATCACATATCCAACGAGAGGAAATTGGGCAGGTGTTCACATATTTTCAGCGAGGAAGTTGGAATAGATATAAAAATGTAATAGGTAACCATATCTATGTTTACCAAGGATGATGGAAGACAAACGCAATGAAGCTATTTATGGTTCAGTGATTGTGCCAATATGTGTTTTTAACCTTTTCTAGTATCATTGCCATTACTTTTTCTCAGGGATTTGTTTAATAGGGGGCAAGATTAATGAACAACCAACACTCTTGGAAATTCATGAAAGCAATTCCATCTCTGTCAAATACTGTGCAAGTTTGTTCTACATTTAAGACTATCATTATTGACTCATGTGCATTATCACACTATTACCATAGTAATATAAAGTCACAAGATGGCCCTTTCACATAAGGTCAGTATTCTCTCTCTATGTTCATGTCAAGTATACACCGTGCATGTAGGCACAATCTCTTTGATTTTGAACAATATTTTCATCTTTTTCAGATATTGCGCATTGTATTGTATGTGTGTTATTGTTCTGCCATGGTCATTGAGTGCTATTAGATTAGCCTTTCCCCTTTCACATGTGGTCAGTATTGACTCTCTATGTTCAAGTGAAACTTGTATCTAGGTAGAATCTTTAGGTTCATGTCTGACGTTTTCATATTTCTCAAACATCATGCAAGTCATTTAACATTTCAGTATTTCCATCTTTTTCAGATATTGCGCATGTCCACATTTCTGACTTTCATCATTGACTTACGTGTGTTATCGTTCTGCCATGGTCATTGAGTGCTGTCAGATTAGCCCTACCCCTTTCACATAGGGTCAGTATTCTCTCTCTGTGTTCGTGGGAAGTGTAGGCCGAGTCGGTGAAGTCCTGTGTGGTGTCGACGAGGAGGTCCATGGCTAGCTGCATCTTTGTTCTTGTCGGTTCGTCCGCAAGAGTTACCTTGGAGGTTTCAACCAGGTCCTGAGACGGAAGTAGATTATTCAAATATAACTCAAATTCAAATGAGAAAATAGCAAGATGTTGATTATAGGGTTGTACAAGCCGCTTCTCACAGATCAACCTAAAGCTTTATTTTTATTCTACAGATCAGCATTGGACCACTATCATAGGTTTTTACTTGGCTTTGCATTATTAAAAGAAACACAAATTAAGTGCCTGTATAATGTGCATATGAGCCAGTAATGTACAGCAGTCAGCATAATCACGTGACCAGCGCATTCTATTTATATCTAGCATACTTACAGTAACCCAACTTAAGTCCTTTCCATGGTGGGACTAGATAATTAAATATAATAAATCCTTAATGATACAAGAACTTTACTAGACCCACTACTGAACTATCTAAGAAGTCACTGCCTCCTATTTCAAAGAAACCTGCTGATATAGAGTTGTATTCTGTTTATTTTGCTGTCTGTATGAAAAAATACGCATAAAAAGAGACCAGTCACACTCTCTGCATGCAGTACGTAGAAACAAACAGAACACCAATACTTACATGTAACTCCTGCATGATACTGTGCATGTTAGGCCACGATGTAATGCCGTTAGGGGAAGAGTGCGAGGAGAGGCGCTTGTTGTCGTACTTGTCGTAGATGATGTCGTTCACGTTGGACAGAGCTTTTCTCATGTTGATGAAGACTGAGTCACGCGTCTTCTTGGCTGGATCACATTCTGGATGTCTAAGGCACGTCTGGTGAGGATCGGAATATAAATGGGATTAAAATCAAATGGGATTAAAATCATATCAATAATAATAATGATAATGATAAAAACGTTACTTATAAAGCGCTTAACACCGAAGTCTCTAAGCGCTATAAGTGGAATTGGGTATTGGTTAGTGTGCACAAACAGACTCTATTCTGACATATATCCAAACACTAAAGCCAAGCCGATATCACTTTAAAAACAGATCGGCACCCTCAACAGTTCACTCCAAGATATCATTGTTAATAATAATAATAATAAAAAAAAAAGTTACTTATAAAGCGCTTACCACCGAAGTCTCTACACGCCATAACAAACAAAATAGACTGATAAACAATTACATATTAAACAAAACAAAAAAAGTGCAAATTAACCTACAAATTACAATGCATATGAAAAACACATCAATGTGAACAAAGTAACTTAATCATCAAAAGCAATTTTGAATAAATGTGTCGAAAGACAAGTTTTTAACTGGTTAACAGTTTGACAATTTTTGACATTTAAAAGTTGTTGCCTACAATGAACCTGTTAAACAGACGGACACTTTTATTTTTCTGTTTACAGTTTTTAGAACTCTGACCCCCCCCCCCCACCCCTCCCAAAGAAAAAAAATGTTTCTATGAACAAACACATTAAACAGGAATAAAAAAAACATCAAAGAGAGGAATTTGACGTTCATGTAGGATAGCAACTCGCCCACAGACTTAGGCTGAAAAAAGGGATGACATTTCCCAATTTTTTCTCTCTGATTTCCAAGAAAAGGTGGGAACTTTGCATTTTGTTGAGGATACCTTCTCCTTCCTTACCTTACATGATGTCAGCAGCATTGTGGTAGACTTCTCTAAGGTTGATCGGGTGCACGCCATCTTGGCTTTTGCTCTCTCATCTTTTAAATCCTGAAAGAAATAAATGATCAAACACCAGTCACACCTAACAATCTGTCTTTTCTTGGCAGATATATACATTAAATGAGCAAAACTAAATAATGAATGGAAGAATGCACTAATAAAGTGAGGAAAAATTGATGTAGTAGCCACCCCACCCCCCCCAAAAAGGGTACATATTTACAGACACAAATTTAAATATTGTAGATGCAGTTACAACCTATTAGCTTCAGTTCTGACATGAAAAGGTATTAATGGTATAAAGACTTTGAAAACGACAAGAAAAAATACAAATGGCAATGCAAAGGAGAAAGAAAGAAAGAGTGACATAGAAAGAGAGAGTGAGAAGATTTAAATGAATGAAAGAAAGAGAAAAATGAAGGGGGAATGGGAGAGAGAGAGAGAGAGAGAGAGAGAGAGAGAGGGAATGGGATAGAGAGAGATATTGAGATAGCTGGGAGGGAGGGGGAAATAGAAGGGACAGAGGAGAATCAGACAGAGGAGGGGATGTAGAGAAGGAGAGAGAGAGAGAGACAGACAGACAGAGAGAGACAGAGAGAGACAGAGAGAGACAGAGAAAAAGAAGAAAGAGAGAGAGAGAGAGATACTGAATAAAAGAGCAATTTATATTTACTATTTGTCTATCTCCTGTTAGATGAGCTAGTTCCACCATTTCTCGGCCAAACTGACTGAAGCATTGAACAAACTCTGTGAAACTCCTCGTCTTGTCAATACGCTCTAAGCTGTTTGAAACCTAGAAAATAAGGAGAAAAGATATGATATTCAATGAGCTTTATGATATTTTCAATTTTTTATTGCAAACTTACATTCTGATTTATTGCAAAATTGTTCAGGAATATCATTTAAAGTCACGTCCTGCCCACGTGTTGAACCTATGCCCTGTTTCTGAAAATAACAACTGTCACAGATTTATAATAAATGTGCACATAAACCGTGGCAAACAATGCAATTAATTCAGCTGCTCAAATCAATCATTTCAGAATCTACTTTTCATTGAAAACAAGTTTTATGAATCAGAGCTCATTTCTGATTTTCATTTACATCAAATGAGAGAAATCTTCAATTCTAAGCAGCTAGAATGCCACAGTCACATACCGATACTTCACAATAGAATCCAGAGATGATGGGAATTGAATAAATGCTTAAATATTTCCATGGGAATTTGATAAGTACATATTTTGATATTTCGACAGCAATTCAATATTAAGTTCAAATAGACTCATGAGATCAAGAGACAGACCACATAGAACTTGGGATGAAACAATGGCAGAAGAGACTGCTACATTTTATCTTTGTTACCTTATCTTTGTAAAAAATAAAGCCCAGAAAAAATGTCAGACCCTCCCCTTGCCATTTGTTTAATTTGAAATACTGTTGATGAAAAACAGCAACAACCAAACAAAGAAAAGCACACATCTTAATGTAGATACTTACCCTATTTCTGGACTGCGATATCTGCTTGATAACAATCTTGTCGGCCATCAACAAGACCCTTGTAATGGCCGATAGAAGACCTCGGGCTGCACGAACCATGTTACCCTTTCCGGCTGGGCTGGTCATCTGTCCCGTCGCATCATATGATACATCAGTCAGCTTGGCAATGTTACTTCCTATATGTAGACAAAAACAAAAAAATGACAAGATTAATGGATTTGATAAAATCGTTCTTTAAAAGAAAAATCAAAAGGTAACCTTGCAAGAATTGAATATTAATAATAATAATAAGTCAATTTATTTAGCACAGCCACTTCATGAATATACTTTACTGTGCCCAATACAAGGTATCAGATTATTACCCCGGCTGTAGCTAAGCTGCCATAATAAGATGCTAAAGCAATAAGGGAATTTCTTCCTACCGGGTAGTACCCATTTGCTTCACCTGGGTGGAGAGTAGCAAAGGTAGATTCATGTCATGTCGAAGGACATTAGTGTCGCTGCGGGACTCAAACCACGAACCATGTGATCCACAGTCCCGTGACGTATCCGCTAGACCACGACAACTCTACTATACTAATACAGTAGTCTTGCATACTAGTGTAACCGATTAAGGGGTATACCTCCTATTTATTTATTATTTCATAGAAATGTACCCCACTTCATAAAGTAATCCTGTTAATTGGGTAAAACATGCCTCATCAAGTCTTACCCCAGTTGTATGGAGAGTACTGTTAGGAGCCAGAAGGGTGTCAAATTTGTATTATAAGATATGAACTAATGCCCTTCTGGCTCTCGGCACATATCATGCCGTGACACAAGTAAAGTACACTTCATCTGCTGGGAGTCCAAAGAGCATTGACTTGTACACTTTGACAGAGATTTATTAAACATCCTTCTGATTCTGAGCCGACACCTTGCACTAGTATGTGACATGGATTTAACGCCCTTCTGGATCTGAACTGACAACATACATGAACTTTCAAGGGCACATTCAAGTGCTGACAAGCAGGTATGATGTGTAGTAGCCTCTAAAAAGCCTTGAAATGTCAAAATAGAGGACTTTGGAAATATAAATGTCTACTTGGCTAATAATTGACAAGGGGAGTGTACTTTATATATCCAAAGTAAAGTTAATGTTAGTTGTTTTCTTTCCTTTCCTCGGGTGAATAAAATTGAAGGAAAAAAGTGTTTCAAGATCTTAACAAGTCCTCACGATGTCTGAAGAAACTCAAGAGTAAATACAAATTGTCAAGATAGGAAGAGTAAAAGAAAGAAAGTAAAAAGGATGGGGAGGGACACAGAAAACAGAGAGACAAAGAGAGAAATAGTGAGAGAAAGATACAGGAAAAGAGAAAGAGGGAGGGAGGGAGGGGTGGGATATAGACAGCATAGGAGCATGATCAATCTGGAATTCTATAACGAGCAAAGCAAATATTTGAAGGTTTCTCATTTAATCCGCTACCAGGAAAAAAAATATGGGAGGGAGAAAACAAGAGAGAAAGAGAGAGAGGGGGAGAAAACAAGAGAGAGAGAGAGAGAGGAGGGGGGGGGGGGAAACAAGAGAGAGAGAGAGAGAGAGGGGGGGGGGGGAGAAAACAAGAGAGAAAGAGAGAAGCAGAAAGAGACAGAGAAACATATACCGGTAAACATAGACAGAAAGTGAGTAGGTGACAGAGAGAGATAAGGTGACATAGAGAGTGACAGAGAGAGAGAGAGAGACAGTCCACAAGAGAGACAGAGACGGAGAGAGACAGAGAGAGTGACAGAGGGAGACAGAGAGACAGACAGACAGACAGAGAAAAGTTGGTCAGAGTCAGAGACACAGAGAGAGGGACAGAGAAAGCTAGACTGACAGATAAGTCTCATTTTTATGAGAGAAAAAAAATCAATAAACATCACATCAGAAGTGGGTTAGAATGCTCAGCAAAATCAAATTAATCCGAAGAATTTCAGCAATGATGAGCATTTGGTGACAGACTCTCAAAAGAATGCTGTAATGTAATGCACCTGTCATGAATTTTCCATTAAATTATCATCTACAGACCGTATGAAAGCTTTTTACTGGCTTCAACAGTAATCTATGACTAACACATTGAATCTTCATAAAGTCAACCCTCCAAAAAATTGTGAAAATATTGTCTTTTGAGGAAAAATTCTTCAGATTTATTTCCCTCACTTGATAGTTACAGAATAAAATCTAATCTATTCACATGTGAAATCATTTCACATCTCATCTTTTTCTGGTAGATACCCTAGTCACATTGGCAAACCAACTCCTGATTGACTCCAAACGAACCATTCAGGGTTAAGTAAATCTTTTCCGACTTGTTATCTGTCTGCAGTTGGCCTTTTTTGCTGTGACTGGAGTGCAAAAAGGGTTTTGTAAGTTTAATACAACTATTCTTTTTGTGTGAATATTCATATTGATAAATTACACTATTAACAAAATTGCAATGATCCAAATCACTCCCTTTATGTGAACAGGCCTATCAAATCCAGTATCAAACATAGCCGACAAAACATCCAACATGTATCTGATTTAATGATGAGGGACCCTTAAGCGGTGCGGACAATTACATCCCAAGACCGGATCTGCGTATTCCCCCGGTTCCGCCTGCCCCGCGGACATAATGTATCTCACTTTAATCAACTAATCAATGCCAACCGGTACAGGAAATGATGCGTCGACGGTCTAGATGGTCTGAATGGCCAGTAGATCGTGTGAACATAACCGGTTAAACTGGTACCCAATGCAACTTAAGGCTGTGATGTGTATAACATTTTTCTATAAATACCCACTTTTTCTGTAATTAAAGCCAACTGATGCAGGAAATGTAGCATAGTTAGCCTGACTGGCCAGCATTAAATATGAACATATCTTCTAACATTGATACCCATCGTCCCTAAGTATGATTTATGTCAATTTAATAGTTTTTCTGAACAGATGTTATTTTTTCTTCCTGTGTAATCAACTAATATATCAACAGAACTGATATAAACTATGCTGCTCTGACTGGACAGCACAGTGTGAACGTATCCTTTTGCCTTAGGTATTAATGCCACTCAAGAACACGATGTGTTCACATTTACAAGTAATCTATTTTTCACAATCGTATGACAGGCCTTAAATTTCGTCATTTTTAGGGCAAGGCCAGTTTGGCCTCGAGTACCTCATATTTTTAAGGGCACCAAGGCCAAAATATTTTTACAAAAAGGGCATCGAGGCCAAAATATTTTACAAAAAGGGCATCGAGTATGAGGCCAAAAAAATTGATTCTATTTTTGTTAGATGTCATGTGTATTTTATGAAACTTGTGCAGGATCAATTTCCCATGACTTTTAGCACCAGCTTCTTCACAGAATGTATAGAGGTCTACGGTACATACAAACAAGCAGGCGCGTAGCCACACGGGGGGGGGGGGGGGTTATTTCCAGGATCGGTTGAAATTTTGTAGACCCCTTTTTTTGACCTCGATCGATTACATGTATGTGCCCCCCCAAACACCAAACTCTGGCTACGCGCCTGCAAACAAGGCGGCGGCCCGCAAGCCTTAGATTTAGCAGCCAGGAGCAAGGGGCAATTTTTTTTTAAAGTTGCCCTTTGCCACGGGAATTTACCAGAGCAAGGGGCAATTTTCCAAAAACAGATAGGCCGCTTATCTAATCATAAGTTCAAAGAGAGTCTACAAATGTTAATTTCATAATGTGAATAGATCGAACGATCAATTTAATAATTTTTTAATCTTAACAATATGAACAGGAAAGATTGATTAAGAACATCAAACTTGCACATTAAACAGTATTTTAAAGTAACTAAAAATATTGATGAGCAAATGAATAAATAAATTGTCAATTTCACAAACATCGAAAGTCAGAAGGACTTAATTGGCAAGTTTACCGGGCCGGGTATTCAAAATCAAAATCGCACCTCACACACAAACCTTACGCCACTCTCTCGGTAGTAGGAGCAAATTGGAAGAAATTATCTTTTTAACTGTTGTATAGAAAGGTCTACATAGGCCTAACTAATGCAATAAGATGTAAAAATTGTCCTTATAGACATTCGACAGCTATAAGTGCCACGCTCAGCTCAGTTGCGTAACGTGCATTCACGAAACCAAAATCGTTCCTCGCACACACACTCTCGCCACTTTTGGTGGGAAGCTGTCGGGCTGGAAGTTTGCCAGCGAAACCGATGCACCCTCGGAATTTTACCGGGACTCGAAACGTTCGTCTTGGGAAGCTGGCGGGGTAGCTTTTTGAAGCGAGGTCGGCTGGTGGCAAAATGAGAGTAACTACGATCGAGAACATCGTAGGTGTTCTTAACTTATTAATAAGATCATTCTAAATTCTATTTGAGATAAAATAATAAACTAGGCCTACAAACAAACCTCGACAGATCTCTAATGACTATTTGAATGCTTGTTTATTTCTCCATTTGACGATTTGTTTTCTTGATCCTGGCCTTCGATTTGTACGTACGTGCGTGCGTCAACAGCATGCACCATATGCATATCCGATCGCATAATATGAACGTACGTACGTGCGCTAGCGCATTGCCTATATAATAACAAAGGGCGCATTTTCACGGCACTTGCGCCTTATTAAAGCACTAAATACGAAGCTAGAAGAGAGCTCGTGGGCGGCAAACTGTTCGTGATTCGTGTATTTTTACTGTTCTAATAATTTATGGGCGCATTTTCACGGAAAACACTTGCGCCTTGCCGTCTAGTTTTAGATGATTATGGGCGCAATTGGTGGTTTTATGTGCGCAAATTTAAAATAAAAAGGGCACGTCCAGTTGGAAAAAAAGGCACGTCGGCCAGTTTGAAAAAAAGGGCACGGCCTTTTTGGCCGTGAATATATCTTTTTTTGGGAGGGCACCGCGGCCAGTCATAGGGGCATCGACGGCCTGGCCGTCGATGGCCGTCGATTAATTTAAGGCCTGGTATGACTTTATCTTCAGTAGATATGAACATCCCAAGAATGTTTACAAAAACGACATGTTTACGAAACCAGTCATTAGTATTTCAACCACCTCAAACCGCTGCTGCGTACTACAACAATTTGTGTATTGTAACTTAATACAGAAATTGGAAGCAAACTACCTTATCTAATTTTTGGTTTGCGGCTTCCCTTCTGAATAGGCCTTTATACATCTAGAATATTGAAT